GTGTTTGCACTGGAGGGATGTTGGGGGATGAAGTGGGCTCTCTACGCTTTCTTTCGCGCTGTACCCATTGCCTGGAGACCCTTCGACCCGCTTCCCTGCTGGGGAATGCTACAGGGGATCTAGATCAAGTTAGTCTCCTGTGAAGCCTCCTTGCCGCTTCCACTGACTTGAGGTTTCCTGAGGCCGTGCCTGTTTTGTGAGCCTTTACACTGGCAGCGGGTACCGCGGGCTATTGAAGGATTAGGAGCTCGCCAGGGAACTGGGACACGACCACCTCCTCTTTACTCGGCTTCAGGTCCAGAGTATGTGTTGAATAAATGTGTCCTCTGCAGATAAGATTTATAGAAGTGGGGGAGGAGACCTGGGATGGGTTGAGAAGAACGAAATTGTTTTTCCCTCCCCTCTTCCCGCCCCTCCATCAGGCCCACACCTGCCCCTCACCACCTTGCAGTCGACCCTAAACACTGTTGACATTAGACTTCCTAATGCCAGCTTCAAGTGAGCCACTTTCCTTTTGGCCACAAAGTAGATTACAAGCTTGGGCCTATGTCTTGTTCGATAATAGTGGTACCGAGTCCTTAGTGAGTTTCTAATCTCTAAGCCTTACAACTTACTCATATATTCAGCAGATATTTGTCGAGTATCTAATCTGTGTGGGGACTCTACATACATCAGTGAACATAACAAAGCTCTCCGTCCACCCAGAGAAGGGAAGGGGCGATGTGGTGAGAAGCATAAGAAGTAATACAGTATGTATCAGCAGACGTTAAATTCCATGGGAATTAAAAAAAAAAAAAGCAGAGTGGGGGTGGGGTGCAGTATTAAACAGGGTAATGGGAATAGGCAGCCTGCGGACATCTAGGGAAGAGCATTCCAGGCAGAGGGACAGAGCAAAGACCACAAAGCAAGAACATGCCTGGCATCTTGGAATAGCAAGGAGGACCGTGGGGCTGGTTCATAGTGGAAGAAGGAAGGAAAGGTCAGAGACTCGATGGGGAGAGAGCAAATCATGAGGGACCTTGTAGACCGAAATAAGGATTTTGTATTTACGCTGTGGCACACTGGGAGCCAGTACAGGGTTTTGACCAGAGAAATGACCCAGTCTCATTTATATTTTGACAGAATCGTTCTGGCTGCTATGTTGGGAATAGATGTAGGGAGCAAGGATGGAAGCGGGAAGACCTTGTGAGGAGGCTCTTAAGGTTCCCAGGGGATGGATAATGGTGAGCTGGCCACGCAGTGTGAGCAGAGGGATCAAGTCAGATCACCTGATGGGTTTGCGATGAGGGCTTACGTGATGAATGAGCATCTGGATTAATGGCATTGCTATGAAGATGAGGAAAGCTGAGGCTGGAGCAGGTGGGGAGAGGGATGTCAGGAGTTGAGTTTAGAAGAAATTTTAAGTAGCCAATTAAATATACAAGTCTGGAGTTGGGAAGAAAGCTCTGGATGGGGGATATAAATTTACCATCCTTAGCCTGTATGCAATACTGAAAGCTGTGAGAATGGTTGAGGTCACCAAGGGAATATGTATAGCTCATAGCTATACGAGGACCAAATGCAGGGCATTCCAGCATCAGGCAGATGAGAAGAGGAAGAACCAACCAAAGGCAATGTAAAGAGGGGCCAGTGAAGTAGGAGGAAAACCAAGAGCAGGAGTCACAATCGTGACTGGGGTAGGTTCAAGAGAAGGAGAGGAGTTAGGGAGGGGCGGGACAAGAACCTCTACAGTAACAGGTAGGAAGACAGAGCACGTGGGTGCCAGCGATGCTCAGCGGGTAGACATAGTGATGGGAGCCTGGGGAGGTCTGTTCTGATGGCCAAAAATCAGGGAGGAGAAGAGATGACAGGTGAGACGGAACCTGAATCCACTGAGCTCTGACCATCAGAGCAGCATCAAGGGCCCATCTGAAGTCTGTGGCCATGAATTTAAAGTGCAAATTGGTCAAGATGGCTGTGTATTTTCTCATCACATTCAATGGTAGGGGCACATAGGCTCAGATAGGACGAGTTGTATTTAACCAGTATTTTATATTTGTCAAGTATGAATAATGATGCAAGAAGGGACAAGAGACATGAAGGTAGGCACGTCAACCACCGGAGGAAAAAAAAGACACTTTGCACATTTTACAGAGAAGAAACCCAAAGCCGGGAGCATTTAAGTAGCTTGCCCAGACAACACTTCTAGGTAGTGCTGGGGCTGGGATTTAAACAGAACTGAGATCATTCCACTGTGCCTGGTGTAGAAGCAGAGCTCAATAAATTGCATCCAGTTGGGTCCAAGTCCTACCTCCTGTTCAGTGAGTGCCGCTCACGTGAGGATGGACAGAAGACATCCCCCAGCTCCTCCCCCTCACGCTCCACCGTTCTCCCCTCGGGGCGGCCTCTCCTGACAGACAACCCTTCTTTAGGTCTCACTCTCAGGTTCCTGTCACCCCTCTCCCCAGGGTCTCCATCTCTCCCTCTCCGCCCTGGGGCATCATCCTTCCGGGGAGGGGAGGAGGGGCTCCAGGATGGCTGAGGAGAAGAAGCTGAAGCTGAGCAACACCGTGCTGCCCTCGGAGTCCATGAAGGTGGTGGCCGAGTCCATGGGCATCGCTCAGATTCAGGAGGAGACCTGCCAGCTGCTGACGGACGAGGTCAGCTACCGCATCAAGGAGATCGCGCAGGTACCCTGGCCTTCCTGCACTGCAGAGACTGTGCCCAGGCCGCCTTCCCCAGGGTCTCGGGCTGACATCTGTCCTCCCACCCCCCCCCCCCCAGGATGCCTTGAAGTTCATGCACATGGGGAAGCGGCAGAAACTAACCACCAGTGACGTTGACTATGCGCTGAAGCTAAAGAACGTCGAGGTGACGGGGACGCACAGCACGGAGGGGCTGGGTGCCGAGCCGTCCCAGTCGCTGCACTGACCTCCGCCCAGCCTGCAGGGGCTCCCTTCTCATCCAGGGTCTCTCTCTCCCTCCTGTTGTAGCCACTGTATGGCTTCCACGCTCAGGAATTCATTCCTTTCCGTTTCGCCTCTGGCGGCGGCCGGGAGCTTTACTTCTACGAGGAGAAGGAGGTTGACCTGAGCGACATCATCAATACCCCTCTGCCCCGGGTGCCCCTGGACGTTTGCCTCAAAGGTCGGGGGAGGGGAGAATGGGGCAGGGAGGAGGGAAAGGGCCAGGTGTGGGTGTGAGGAAGGGCACTGGTGAAGGAGCCCTCTGCCTGAGACCCCTAGCGGGGAACACGGAGAACCCACATCCCTTCGTGGGGAGTGACTTCCTGATGTCGCCACCCTGTGGTTCACCTGGACACCTTTCTTCCTCGCAGCTCACTGGTTGAGCATCGAAGGCTGCCAGCCGGCCATTCCAGAGAACCCACCCCCAGGTAACCTCCATGCCCAGCACCCACTCTTTCCCCTCCTCCCTCCATATCTCCTCCCCTGACTGCTTTCCTTTCCCACCAGCTCCCAAGGAGCAGCAGAAGGCTGAGGCCACAGAACCCCTGAAGTCAGCCAAGCCAGGCCAGGAGGAAGACGGCCCCTTGAAAGGCAAAGGTCAGGGGGCTGCTCCAGCTGACAGCAAAGGTCAGTACCGCTGGGCCAGGCCTCTTGCCCCAAAGCCAGATGGTCATGTGTGTGAGGTGGGTGAGGTCAGGGCAGGGGGCGTGAGCTCCGGCCAGAGTCCCAGAAAGGGCCAAGAAGCCAGTCTCCCTGGGTGGGGGAGGTGAGGCTAGAGGTTTGCCTGGTGCCCAGGCCTCCTCAGGAGCTTTCCTGCCTAAACCTGGCTCCCTTACTCACACAGGGAAAGAGAAGAAGGCGCCACCCCTGCTGGAGGGGGCGCCTCTGCGACTAAAGCCCCGAAGCATCCACGAGCTGTCAGTGGAGCAGCAGCTGTACTACAAGGAGATCACTGAGGCCTGCGTGGGCTCCTGCGAGGCCAAGAGAGCGGTGAGGCCCCGCTGCATCCTGCCTTCCCTTCTCCTCCGCCCGGAGGTCGCCCCGCTTCACTTGCTCCCCTCCCTCCCACAGGAGGCTCTGCAGAGCATCGCCACGGACCCGGGTCTCTACCAAATGCTGCCACGCTTCAGCACCTTCATCTCCGAGGGGGTGAGAGGCCACGGGAGGGCGGGGTGGGGTTCCGGGAAGGGCGGCAGAGGTGGCTCATGGAGGGTTCCCGCTGCCCCATCCCTGCTCCCTCCCCACCCCAGGTGCGTGTGAACGTGGTGCAGAACAACCTGGCCCTGCTCATCTACCTGATGCGCATGGTGAAGGCGCTGATGGACAACCCTACTCTGTACCTAGAGAAATACGTGAGTGGACCTGTCGGCCCACCCCTCGTCCAGGCTCGGGGACCGTTTGTCACAGTGAGCTGACGCGGGCTTCTCCCGCAGGTGCACGAGCTGATTCCGGCTGTGATGACCTGCATCGTCAGCAGGCAGCTGTGCCTGCGGCCAGACGTGGACAATCACTGGGCGCTCCGGGACTTTGCCGCCCGCCTGGTGGCCCAGATCTGCAAGCACTTCAGCACAACCACGAACAACATCCAGTCCCGCATCACCAAGACCTTCACCAAGGTGAGCCCTTTCCACCACTAGCTGGGTTGTCACCGGAACAGTGAGCACCACGCCCAAGCCAGTGTGGCTTCAGGAAGTGACACTGAAAACCAGCGGCAGAGAGGGGCGGCCTGGACTTGGGCCAAATCCAGTGTCTTTTTCTAATTGTGTGATTCCACTTTAAAGTCCAAAAACAAAAACTAATCTCTGTGGGACTTCCCTGGTGGCCCAGTGGTTAAGACTCCGAGCTTCCAATGCAGAGGGTGAGGGTTCGATCCCTGGTCAGGGAACTAAGATCCCACATGCTGCACAGTGCTGCCAAAGAATTAAAACAAACTAATCTCTGACGGTAGAGGTCAGAATAGCAGCTACTATCAGGAAGAGAGGGTGGTTGGGAAAGAGCTGTTGTATCTTAATGACTTATAAGGAAATGTGTGTATGAGACTCGAGTCCTTACCAGTTAGCTTTTCACACCCCTTCATTTGGGTTTATTTTCCATCCCCTTACAGAGTTGGGTGGACGAGAAGACCCCGTGGACAACACGCTACGGCTCCATCGCAGGCCTGGCAGAGCTGGGACACGATGTTAGGCCCTGGGAGGGGAGCCCTGGGAAGGGGAGGGATCGGGAGGTCAGAGTAGGAAACAGCCTCCCGACCTGGGAGACCCTGTGGTGACCCCCAGACCCCGGCTTCTCCCTTCCTTTTCCTATAGGTGATTAAGACACTGATTCTGCCGCGGCTGCAGCAGGAAGGAGAGCGGATCCGAGGGGTTCTGGATGGCCCAGTGCTGAGCAACATTGACCGCATCGGGGCTGACCATGTGCAGAGCCTCCTCCTGGTGACAGAGCCCCACCCTCCCCCTTCTTCCCACTGATGCCCCCTCTGCCCCCGCCAGACACACACACACACAGAGGACAGTGTTTAGCAAAGCATAGAGCATCTTCCATTCACTTATCCCGTCTTTGCCTCATATGCAGAGCACACCTCAGAGTCCCAATATTGTTACATAGCTGGAAAGACCAAGGCACTGAGTAAGAAATAAGAAGTCTGAACGCAGCCTGTGACTTTCAAGCCTGACCTGCCCCTGATGCTTCTGCAAGGCACACGCCCTTTGGACCAGCTGGCTCTTAGATGTGACCAGTGTGATCACGCAGTGAGCTGTCCGCTCAACCAGCTGGTGCCTGTCTGTGCTCTCTACAAGGAAAAACCACCGCATTCCTTACACGTTGATAAGCCAGTGAGCGCAGCCTGGCCTCCGGCAGGCACACACTAAAACAATGGATCACCTCTGTCACCCCTTCCCCATCCCGATTCTCAGCGTCCTGGCCCTCCCTCAACCTGGCGGTTCTTTGCCTTGTCTCTGCAGAAACACTGTGCCCCTGTCCTGGCAAAGCTGCGCCCGCCACCCGACAATCAGGACGCCTATCGGGCAGAATTTGGGTCCCTTGGGCCCCTCCTCTGCTCCCATGTGGTCAAGGCCCGGGCTCAGGCTGCACTGCAGGCTCAGCAGGTCAACAGGACCACCCTGACCATCACTCAGGTCATTGCAGGGTCAGGGAGGAAAGGGGATTGAGTGGAGAGGAAAGGGAGGGTGAAAGGAAAAAAAATTCGGGGGGTGGGTCCCATCCCAGTGGAGCTCACAGACACTGCACGCCAGGGTGTGCACCCTGACTTCTGTGAAACATGGGGCCCCGAGTCAGCCGTCTTGGGGGAGCTGGTGAACACAGATGGTGACGTTTTCTTCCTGCTGCTGCTTTCTACAGCCCCGGCCCACGCTGACCCTCTCACAGGCCCCCCAGCCTGGCCCTCGGACCCCCGGCTTGCTGAAGGTCCCCGGCTCCATCGCATTGCCCGTCCAGACGCTGGTGTCTGCGCGAGCTGCCGCCCCACCACAGCCGTCCCCGCCACCAACCAAGTTCATCGTCATGTCCTCGTCCTCCAGCGCCTCATCCACCCAGCAGGTACCCCACGTGGTCCCAGGGATGCTGGGGCCCGTGTCACATGTCACTGTATGGTGGGAGCCTGGGAGGCGTCCCCCAGCCTGGGGTATGGGGTGGGTGCAGGCCAGCAGCACTGCCTTCCTTCCGGCCCAGGTCCTATCCCTCAGCACCTCGGCCCCGGGCTCCGGCTCCACCACGACCTCTCCCGTCACCACCACCGTCCCCAGCGTGCAGCCCATCGTCAAGCTGGTCTCCACCGCCACCACCACGCCCCCTAGCACTGCCCCCTCGGGTCCCGGCAGCGTCCAGAAATACATCGTGGTCTCTCTGCCACCCACCGGGGAGGGCAAAGGAGGCCCCACCTCCCATCCTTCTCCTGCCCCTACCCCATCCTCAGCCCCCTCCCCGCTTGGGGGCAGTGCTCTCTGTGGGGGGAAACCGGAAGCTGGGGAGAGCCCCCCTCCTGCTCCAGGGACTCCAAAGGCTAATGGCTCGCAGCCCCCCGGGGCTGGCTCCCCTCCGCCCGCACCCTGATGCTGACCCTCTCCCTGGATTTTCCCTCTCTCCCCCACACATACAGACACACACATACTGGGTGGAAGGGGGTAGTAGCCAGCTTCCCCCACGTGACTTTCTCTTTAGATATTGTACAGCCAGTTGCTCAGAATAAAAGTTCGATTTTTAAGTTGTGATCCACCTCAGTCCTCCCTGGGTCAGGTCCCACAGGAGGACCTAACTTGTTGAGCTCACTGATCTCGAGGACTCAGGACTCTTCCAGTCCCAGGCCAGGACACTAGGAGAGAAAACGCCGTCCTTCTGCGATGCCCTGACCGCCACCTCTGCCTCCCATGCCCTCGTTTGGGAGCTTCAGATCCGAATGACGTAAGCGTCGCTGTGGCTTAGGTGTCGCACCCACTTGTGCGGGCTGGCGCTGCCGCAGGGTCTGAACGCCAGCCTGAGAAAGCGGACCTGGAGGCCAGAGCACGTGTGCCGGGGAAGCTCAAAGGAGAGGCTGGCAGGGCCCAGCCCTAGGGGAGCCGAGGCGGAGGGGCCTTGGCCGGGAGGCCCAGGGAGGCCCGGGACGTCCATCTGTGAGGAGCAGAGGCAGGGAGGGGTGCTGAAGGCCCCAAGAGGAGGGAGGGCAAGAGAGCCAAGGGGCCATGGAGCTGACCACACAGACCCCCTGCGTGAGAAGGCACGGGTCAGGGCTGGAGGTGGAGGCAGGGGCAGGGCCGTGGAGAATCAGCAGCTGGTACCTGGAAGAGGCCTGAGAGCTGAGAGCCTCCTTGCACCCGAGGCAGGTCCCAGCGAAGGGCTCCCTCCGCCAGTTCTGCCTTCTGCTCTGGGCTGCTCAGCTCCTGAGACAGGCTGGAGTCGAGAGAGGAAAGGGCTGGGGTCAGCCCCTGCCCCACAGCTCCCACCCCAGCGCTGTCTTTTGTCCTGAAAAGCTAGTGAGACTGCCCACAGGCCTGCAGTGCACACGCACTCACCTGACCACCCCTCGAGGCAGGGGAAGGTGCAGCCTGACGTTGAGAGCCTGGCTGCAAGGGAGAAGGCAGCAGTCAGTCCCGGGAAGGTTGCATCCCATCTTCATTAATGTCACCACCGGACTTGCGCACAAGTGCCCCCTACCCCCTTCCCAAACTCCAGAGGCTCTCCCCTGGATTCTGAGGCTCCCGGCGGCACCTGGGGTGGAAAGAGCAGGTATCTGGGCCTTGTCTCCTACCCTCCACAGCTGGACCAGGCTGGGCTACCCCCACTCACCTTTTTGGGGGCAGGTCGCAACGTAACTTCAAATAAACCTGGAGCCTGCGTGAGAGGGTACAATGCTGTTACTCAGGCCCTATCCCACTGGCAGGCCCCTATGTGTGGCTGTGGCTTTTGCCTCAAGAAAGAAAGAGAAGAGCTGAGATCCACCCAACTCCACAAGCCATGCCATGCATGGAGCTGGGTCCGCTTGTGGGGGAGGGTGCCTATTCTAACTTGGAGTCAATGTCGTTACCACCACTCCTGAAAGTCAATCTGGGAATTACATATATACATACAAATATATATGTACACACACACATACCTACATTGGCTTGGGCTCCAGAGAAATCCTAGAACAGGGAAATGGTCTCACCTGCCTGAGCCTCGGTCCCACTGCACAGACGGAAAGAGCCGGAAGGGGAGCGGGGAGGGGAGGTCATCTGAGAGTTGGTACCTCATCACAGTCAGCTGAGACCAGAGAGGAAGGGAGGTGAGTTTGGTCTCCTTATACATGAACGGCCTCCCTCCCCCTCAGGAGATGGAATGTGCTAGGCCAGCCCGGTCCTGACCTCACCCTGAGGGGGCTGCAGACGGAGGATCCGATGAGATTCAAACTCATCCAGGTACACTGAGCTGTGAAAGGAGACCTCATCCACCCGAATTCCTGGCCCATAGCCTGGAAAGAGAGAAAGACCCCCTTTGCTGACCTGTATTTTGGGAGGGGGTGGGGATCCATCTAACTTCTCCAGATGAAACCTGGGACAAAGACCTCTACCTAGAAGAAAAAGACCTGCTTTCTCCTCACCTCTCAGTTCGGACTTCCCCACACAAAACTCCTCAGTCAAGCCGATGCGCATCTCTGTCAGAGGAAAGAGTATCAGAAGAAGCCACCATGCCACCACACCCGCCACCAAGGAGCCGTTCCTACGCCCAACCAGGGCCAGCCCACATGCTGCTCACCTGAGCCGCTGGGCAGAAAGCTCTTGAGCCGGATCTCTCCCTGCACATCCACCTTGAGCAGCGAGCCCTGAGAGCAGCGGGACGTCAATGCCCAGCGATTCCCACGTGCCACCATCCTCAGCCACAGGGCTGGGGCCCAAACTTACATTAGAGGCTATCAGCACGGATAATCTCTCGACCACGTCCAAAAACACTTCGTTCTTTTGACTCTAAAGGAAAGAAAGGGGGTCTCGTGGTTGGAGGTTGGTCAGTCTGTCTCCTATTGTGGACAGACAGAAAGGACAGAACAGTGGAGGCTGGGGCCCCAGGATGGGGGCACAAGGGTAAGAAAAGGGATCCTCCGTGTCTAGAGAAGGGGAAAAGATATGCTGGGATCTTGGACTCTGGGGACTCAAAAACCAGAGGATATGAACCCATCAGCCCCTCCCTCACCTGGTCAGAGCGGCTGGACAGGACAGGCCGGCTGGCTGCACTGCTGGGGGCCACTTTGCTCTGTTGTGTCTCGGCCCCAAACTGAAAGCACCCAAATCAATCAATCCTCACGCCTGATGCTTCCCATTAACCCTCCTCAATCCTGGCCTCCTCTGTCCCCGGACTGACCAAGCCAACGCTGCTGAGATCAAAGAGGCTGAAGGGTTTGCTGACCACAGCCTCTGTCTGGATGAAGTTCCTCAGCACCTCCGTGGATGTGGTCTGTACGTAGCCATAGTCCTAGGGGCAGAGGAAGGACACTTTGGGGTAGTCGGTTGGGGGAAGGGGTGAAAATGAATGCTGTATCTTCAGGGAACCGGGGACAGGGAGGAACCTCACCAGCACTTCATCCAGGAGTTCGTAGACCAGAGCCACGTTGCGAGAGATGGTCGCCTCCCCTAGGGAGCCACAGTAGTCACCCAGGAGAGTGGCCAGCCTGCGAAAACCCACACAGAGGATGCATAACAACTCCTCTCTGACACCCTGACCCCTGCGCCCGGGTGGTCAGCCCTGCCCTCCTCACCGGGAGAGCAGCTCCAGGAGGCTGAAGGGAGAAATGTTTTCTGAAGTAGTGGCCACCAAGTAGAGACCGCTGTGTCTGATGTGAATGAAGTGCCGGCCATCGTGGTGCTGAGGCAGAGGCACGGAGAAAAGCGTGAGAAGAGAGCTGCAGTGATTCCCGACCATGAGACTGAGGCTGCCTTCCTGATTTCCCTACTTACTAGCAGCGTGACTTCAGGCCACATACGAAACCTCCCCAAGGCCCAGCTTCCTAACGTGTAAATGAAGTTAATAATAGTACCTACTCCAAAGTGGCTGAGGATTGAGACGTGTGAAGAGCTGTGCCTAATGCGGTTAGCGATCAGTACACCGCCATTAATATTATTTAGAGGAATGTACTCCCCCACCCCCAGTATCTCTTAGAGAAAATCCCGGGAGGAGGCGCCTCCCAACCCCAGACCACCAACCGCATACCCACCACCCCACCCCCACTCCCGCCAGTGGTTACCATGACAACCGGAGACTCGTCTCCAGGCAGTCCCGTCAGCTTCCGGTAGAAGAGCTCGGCCACATCCCGGCCGCCGCTGTCTCCGCGGACTGACCGAGTGGAAGGAAAGCTAAGGATATGGCGACACTCGCTGGCACTGGGGCCCTAGTCCCACTCAGCCCTTCTCCCCCCGCCCCTCTGGCCAAGGATACAGTCCTTGTAGATGAGCGGGTCCCCCTTGGAGGACAGAATGAAGAACTGGGAAATCATGGCCGTTCTGGAGAATAGACTAGGAGACAGAAAACGTTGGGCCTACCCCGCCCTGCGGCCCCGGAACAAAAGGACGCGAGAAGGCTGGCCCTTTAAGAGCGATTCTCCTCCGACCGCGGGAAACCCGGCGCGCGCCCCGCCTTGCCCAGGTTTTCCCTCTAAACACCCGCGCCTCTTCCCCGTCACTCAGCCCAGGTTCGCCCGTTGATTGGCCGAGGCTGGGGCCCGCGGCAAGCGGGAGGGGCGAAGGGCATCCTCTCCGATTGGCCCGCACGCAGCGGCGCTGGTCACGTGAGGGGCGACGTTTCGCGCCAATTTCGGTTGGTCGGCTGCAGTCCGCCGCGCGGACGTTTTTTTGCTGGCAGGGCAGTGAGAGCTCGAGAGCCCGCCAATCGGTGCCGTACGGTCCTCGGCAGCAATGGCACTTAAGGACTACGTGCTCGAGAAAGGTGAGGGAATGCGAGTGTAGGAGGAGCGTTCTGCGCTGGAAGCTTGCTGGGCGACACCTGTTGGTGTGGGCTGGAGTCCCGGGGGACCGGGCTCTCGGCGCGCGAGGCCGGAGGCAGGGTAGGGAAGTGGCGGAGTGGAGGCGCACGGTTTCTGGGGTGCGCACGGGCCGCCGAGGCCGGGGGAGAGCTGGTGATCGTGTCCAGGAAAGGAGTCGTGGAGGGGGGCGGTGCGGACACCCAAGCTGGAAGCTCCAGAGGGAAGAGTCGCGCTAAGGACAGAGCGGGCCCTCAGAGGCCTATCTAACCAGCAACCCCCAGTCCCGCTTTTCTCCGCGCGCTTAGGCACTCCCAGCGCCCCCAGACGCGCCGAAGCCCTGGGTGGGGCGGGCGGTCCCGGGCCGCTGCGCGCCGCGATTGGGCCGCGTTAGGTCCACCTCCTAGCGGAAGTGGAGGCGGGCGGAAGTTGCGCGACGCTGCTGGAGGGAGTGTCGTGTGTAAACAGTGTCCTTCCGCGCGGTGGCCTCGGAGAGAGCGACAGAGGGTGGGGGCGTGCCTGGAATTGGAGGGGTTTCTCCGGAGGCCGATGGATGAAGTGGTGGGGTGGGGCAGGGTGGCCCTCGACGAGCCGGCCAATCGCCGGACGGGCTCCCTCCTCGGGCGGAGGAATCCCGGGCTGTGAGGCGGCGGCATCTGGGCCCATGTGCTTCTTTGTTTACTAAGAGCGGAAGCAGTGGCGGGAGAGGGGGTGGGGCGGAGGATTGGCCTGGTGGCGGAGATCCCCGGGAGAGCAACAATTTAAGGGACCGAAAGAAAGGGGGAATAAAGCACGTAAAAGGAAAGCTGCGAACCGTGAGACTTGAGTATGTTGCCGGGTGTGGGAGGCCCTTAGAAAAGGGTACCGAGATTTCTAATTAAGGCAGAGAGTGGAATTCCCCTAGGGGGGAGCGTATTGGGTAATACTCTAAACTGCTAGGGGCCACTTATTCTTCTTTAAGTAAAAACAGACTTGCGAAAAGGAGTTTTGCTTTATTGGGCAGAATTACGTAGGTCTATTTGAATGTTCATTTAATTTGTTTAGAGATTTTACTTTAAATAGAAGTAAGTTTTTTAGATCTCTATCGGGTTTGCAGTAAGGTATATGAAAAAAGTCCATCCTTACGACTTTATTCTTTCCTTGTAGAAAAAGTGAAGAAGTTCCTACAAGAGTTTTACCAGGATGAAGAATCTGGCAAGAAGCAGTTCAAGTATGGGAACCAGTTGGTGAGTCTAAAGTTAGGTAGATGGAATGGGTGGTGACTTGAGCTATAAGGCCTGGCTTATTTTAGCAGGTATGTTTTTCTAGAAGTGATGAGTTTAGCACCATACCTGATACTTGTGTATCAAGTATCTGTGTGCTGTGTCTGTGCTCAGTCTAATTCTTTGTGACCCCATGACTGTAGCCTACCAAGCTCCTCTGTCCAAGGAATTTTCCAGGCAAAAATACTGGAGCTGGTTCCCATTTCCTTCCCCAGGGAATCTTCCTGACCCAGGGATTAAACCCATGTCTCTTGTGTCTCCTGCACTGGCAAGCGAATCCTTTGCCACTGTGCCACCTGGGAGAAAGCGATGTGAGACTGAACAGGACTCAGTTTCAGCTCCCTCAATCCCTGAAAAGACCTTAATTATTGCGAACCTAGTGATACACACCTTTCTCCCCTGTGGAGCCTGGGTCCTATGTGCTGAGCTCATAGTGACCAATATTTGCTTGTGAACACAGGTAAGATAAACTTGGCTCCACTGCTTTCTCTTCCTCACCCCAGGTTCGACTGGCTCACCGGGAGCAAGTGGCCATGTACGTAGACCTAGATGACGTTGCTGAGGATGACCCTGAGCTGGTGGACTCAATTTGTGAGAACACCAAGCGCTATGCCAGGCTCTTTGCTGATGCTGTTCAAGAGCTGCTGCCTCAATACAAGGAGAGGGAGGTGAGAAAAATGCAGGGCACACAACTTAGGTTTGTGTCGAAAAACTTGCTGAGTACTGATGTTGTCCGAGCTGACCCAAAGGGGTCAGTGGTTTCTGCCTGGCACTCTTAACATTCTCTCCTTTCACCATTCTGCTACTCACTTTTCCTGTTTTCCTTCCTTTTCCTTTAGGTAGTAAATAAAGATGTCCTGGATGTTTACATTGAGCACCGGCTAATGATGGAGCAGCGGAGCCGTGACCCGGGGGCAGCCCGAAGCCCTCAAAACCAGTACCCTCCTGAGCTCATGCGCAGATTGTGAGTGGCCACGGTGGGGACATGCATGGGGTTCAGGTCCCCAGACCCTTGCTAATGACCACTTTCTCCGTTAGTGAGCTGTATTTTCAAGGCCCCAGCAGTAACAAGCCTCGTGTGATCCGGGAAGTACGGGCTGACTCTGTGGGGAAACTAGTAACAGTGCGTGGAATTGTCACTCGTGTCTCTGAAGTCAAACCAAGAATGGTGGTGGCCACTTACACTTGCGACCAGTGCGGGGCAGAAACCTACCAGCCGGTATGTATGGAGCAGAGAACGGGAGCACACTTGATTCTGTGAGGATGAACTTTGTCTACTGATGTGTATGTCTTTTCTGATTACTGAAAAACACGCCTGTGTGGTCACTTTTCGGTATGGAGTGGTCTTTCCATCCAGTCTGTTCTCTTTGTGTCTGTCAGTGTCTGCCTAGCACGGCTTAAGACACTCTCAAAAGGGCCATGGTCTCTGCTGAAGGACAGATGTGATTCCAGTGACTGAGGGGCTCCTTTCCTCATGACTTCTTTGGTGCTTCCTTTTTCACTCTAGATCCAGTCTCCTACTTTCATGCCTCTGATCATGTGCCCAAGTCAGGAGTGCCAAACCAACCGCTCAGGAGGCCGACTGTACCTCCAGACTCGTGGCTCCAAATTCATCAAATTCCAGGAGATGAAGATGCAGGAACATGTGGGTTTGGGGTATGAAGTCCAGGGTCCAGGGGAGTTGAAGGTGGGGAGTTCACTCAACTTCAGTAGTCGCTCGTGAAGTAGAGGGAAGAAAGTAGAACAGAGAGGAGCTGAGGCAGAGAAGTTGCAGAGAGTAGGAAGCAGGCTTCTCTGGAACTTTCTGACTGAGCTGGGATGTAAAGGAGAGCTCAGCTTCCCTCTGTCGGTTTATGTGGGGCCAAGTAGGCCAGGGAGTGGCAGAGTGGTGTGCGCGGGATGGGAGGTTAGTCCTCCGGCCTCAAGCTCCCTTCTCCCCCAGAGTGACCAAGTGCCCGTCGGAAACATCCCTCGCAGCATCACGGTGCTGGTAGAAGGAGAGAACACAAGGATCGCCCAGCCTGGGGACCACGTCAGCGTTACCGGCATCTTCCTACCGATCCTGCGCGCTGGGTTCCGACAGATGGTCCAGGTGAGAAAGGGAGTTTTAAGAGGAGCAAGTGGTGGTCCCTTCCTCCTCATCCCTCCCTTTTACCAGCCCCACAGAAAAGTGTCAATAGCAGAACAGAACCAAAGGGTTTGTCAGGAACTCCAGAGGGAATCGTGTGGGTGGGCAGGTAGAGAACCTCATTAACACCCTGGTGTTTTCCTGCCCAAGGGTTTACTCTCGGAAACTTACCTGGAAGCCCATCGGATTGTGAAGATGAGTAAGAGTGAGGAGGATGAGTCTGGGGCCGGAGAGCTGAGCAGGGAGGAGCTGAGGCAAATCGCAGGTGAGGGGTCGGCGGGAAGATAAATGTGTTTATCCCAAGTACTTCTTTCCCCTGGAAAATACTCTTGAGTCTTTGCTTTCCCACAGAGGAGGATTTCTATGAGAAGTTGGCAGCCTCCATCGCCCCAGAGATATACGGGCACGAAGATGTGAAGAAGGCACTGCTGCTCCTGCTGGTGGGAGGGGTGGACCAGTCTCCTCGAGGCATGAAAATCAGGGGTGAGTGGAGGCATCGGGGGAGAAAGGATGCTGGATCAGGGTCCCGTCAGTCAGAGAATGAAAGCCGGCGTCTTGATTTCCTGGGCACAGGGTGGGATTAGACACAGGGCAGGCAGACCTCAGCAGTCCTCTCCTCTGTGCGCAGACAGCCTGCATCGGAGGAGCAGTCTCTCAGGGGCTTCCTTCCCTTCCTCCAGGCAACGTCAACATCTGCCTGATGGGGGACCCCGGTGTGGCCAAGTCTCAGCTCCTGTCCTACATTGACCGCCTAGCCCCCCGCAGTGAGTATCAGGTCCTGGGAGAGGCACCTGAGGGCGGGGGAGGACCGCCAGGCGTCCGCTGGGGGAGGGTCAGGGACTGGAGATGGGTGTTGATGTCGTTACCCCTAGACCTGCCATTGCCTCAGGATGGCCCGGCTAGGTCCGTAGAGCAGTTCTACTCGCCTCGCCGGCCCCGTTCCCTCTGCCCTGCTGCGGCTCCCTCGTTCTCCCTCTTCCTAAACATGCCTGTGCGTGTCTACCTTCCTGACCCTTCTGTGCAGGCCAGTACACGACAGGCCGTGGCTCCTCCGGGGTGGGCCTCACAGCAGCTGTGCTAAGAGACTCTGTGAGCGGCGAGCTGACCTTGGAGGGCGGGGCCCTGGTGCTGGCCGACCAGGGGGTGTGCTGCATTGATGAGTTTGACAAGATGGCAGAGGCTGACCGCACGGCCATCCACGAGGTCATGGAGCAGCAGACCATCTCCATCGCCAAGGCGGGCATTCTCACGACGCTCAATGCCCGCTGCTCCATTCTGGCTGCCGCCAACCCTGCCTACGGCCGCTACAACCCTCGCCGCAGCCTAGAACAAAATATACAGCTTCCTGCAGCATTGCTTTCCCGATTTGACCTCCTCTGGCTGATCCAGGACCGGCCCGACCGAGACAATGACTTGAGGTGACTGCAGCTCTGCACGCGGGGAAACGCCCCCTGTAGCCCTCTCTGTGTGGGGAGGAGGGACTGAGAAACCCCTCATTGTCGTCTTAGGGAAACGCCAGAACCTTCCCCTTAAACGCAGGGCTTGCTCCACAGTTCTCAGAGGGGGTCAGGGCTGAAGTGCCGATGATCCTTGACTGACCGGCTGTGGGGTGGAGCGCTGAGGGGGCACAAGATCCAGCACTCCTGTTGCCTCCTCCCCCACCCCCCCAGGTTGGCCCAGCACATCACCTACGTGCACCAGCACAGCCGGCAGCCCCCCACCCAGTTTGAGCCTTTGGACATGAAACTGATGAGGTAGGAGAGCCAGACAAGGCTATACACTCCCCCGGGCGCCATGGGAGGCAGTGTCCTGGCCTCTGCTTCTCTTAAAAAGCTTTCATCCTTCCCCCCTCCTCCGGTGTCCTGGGTCTGAGAACAGGGAGTCTTGGTTTCCCCGGGCTGGCCGTAGGAGACCACGGTGGAGAAACCTGCCTTCACACCCCTCCATCTGCTTGTCTCAGGGTTATTGACACAGGTGCAGATTTTGGCAAAGCTGGCTTCTGCTGCGTGGGTACCTGACAGCACTGCCTTCTCTGAGGAGGCCGTCCAAGGACTCCCAGGGATTCCTAATGCTGCTTTTCCCTTTTAGCTGCTCTCATGAATTAACAAAACCATCTCTTACAGACAGGTGGATTTGTCTCAATTGTGCAAAGGTTGTTTTCCTTTAAAAAAAAAAGTTGGGGATACCTTGAAATGCTGCATTTGGGGAAATCCATCAGTAATATTTAAGCTTAATCATCCACCAATTGTTTCCTACTTCAAAAAGTGTCCTCTCTTCCAATTTTTTTACTCCCAGTTTTCCAACTCAATGCAGAATAAACACGCTCTCCACCTCTCCTGCTTTGCCACAGGCGATACATAGCTATGTGCCGGGAGAAGCAGCCCGCGGTGCCAGAGTCTCTGGCCGACTACATCACAGCGGCGTACGTGGAGATGAGGCGAGAGGCTTGGGCCAGTAAGGACGCCACCTACACTTCGGCCCGGACTCTGCTGGCTATCCTGCGACTGTCCACCGCTCTGGTGAGTGCCAGTCTGTGTGCTGGAGGATCGTCCGTTTGGGCTCTACTGGGGCCTGCCCTCCTGTCCTCGCGCTGCTGCCTGCCTCCTGCTCAGGCCCTGCCGGGGCTAAAGTGCTGACAGTGCAGATAGTGGTCCTCGTGTGCTACCGCACTGTGGGTACTTGCTGCTCCAGCAGGGCACGCCCAGCGTCCCAGGAGAGGCTGCTCCCTGTTTCTTGCTGAGGGGCGGGTGGGTTAACCTCGCTCCGGTGTCGGGAACCTTCATTTCTGTCGTCATGCCTTGGACAATCGTCCTGGGGGCTCCAAAGTGCTGTTCGTGCAGGTAGTGTGATCACCTGACCTACTGCTGAGCCAGCACTTCCCGAGCCCCAGGGACACTAACCCTCTGCCAGTCACCTTCTCGACTGAGCGCCCCAAGCTCCATCTGTCGTGGTGGGGAGCCCAGTGGATTCAGAAGGGTCTGGTCTCCCTCACAGGACAGCTGAACACCGGGACTGGCCAGTGTTGAGAGGCGGAGACTTGGGCAATTGCTGGACGCTGCCCCGGGCATTGCACTTGTCTCGGTCTGACAGTGCCGGCCCCACACTGCGGATGCCTGGTGGGCGGGGAGGGGGCCGCTACTCCTTTGTGAGTAGGAACACTTAGGTGCCCAGCCTTAAAGCTGGAGCAGGGTGGGGGGCCTCCCTGACTTGGTTCCATCCCCCTCCTCCTGTGCCCATCTCTCCCTACCTTCCCCTTAGGCACGTCTGCGAATGGTGGACACTGTGGAGAAGGAAGATGTGAATGAAGCCATACGGCTGATGGAGATGTCCAAGGACTCACTGCTGGGTGACAAGGGGCAGACAGCTAGGTGAGTGGCTTAGCAGAGGGTGGCAGGAGGCACCTTTGACCCTCTTCAGCAGGAAACCCATCCTGCAGCTCCTGCACCGCTGGGTCTGCGGTGCTGGCCTCAAAGTTCTAACCCTGACCACACACCACACCCATCCATCCAGGACCCAGAGGCCAGCAGACGTGATATTTGCCACGGTCCGTGAGTTGGTCTCGGAGGGCCAAAGTGTCCGGTTTTCCGAGGCAGAGCAGCGCTGCATCTCTCGTGGCTTCACACCTGCTCAGTTCCAGGCGGCCCTGGACGAGTATGAGGAGCTCAACGTCTGGCAGGTCAACACTGCCCGGACACGGATCACTTTCGTGTGAGTCCAGTCGCTGGGACACTGGATCTGCTCTGCATATTGTTTTGCCCACGCTGCACTTGTTTTCCTCATTCTTTTTCCTAATAAAGTGTGTGTCCATTTGCTGCTTCTGTTCAAACAGGATTTTGGGTTTTCTGGATTCTAGTCTTTTCCCTTTATGCTTACCTGACTCCAGCCATTCAATAAATCTGAGGGGACTTCCTGCTCTGCCTGCCAAGGCACCAATATAGGACCGCAATGGTCTCCTCTCCCACCCACCTCCAGCTGTTAGTCTCATGTGTGGACAGTACTTCTGCCTCCTGGGCTTCGGGCAGGTTTTCCATCTTCATGAGCGCTGGCTGCTGCAGTAACACAAACGCCTCCCCCTCAGCCATCCACAGTGCCCACAGGAGAGAACAGAGCCACCAGAAGGGGTGCTGAGGGGCTGCTCCCCTTTTATTAGTGATGGCTTCCTCAAGGCCTTGAGTGTAGCACCCCTTCCCTTGACAGCTGTCTGACCCCTGAACGTCAGCCCTTCAAGTACCCTCTGGTCAGAAAAAGAGCCCCCGCATCCGCCTGCCGATGCCTTGCCGGTCGTAGAGGACATTGAACTTGTTCACGAACTGGTTCATGGTGTTGCAGGTCTTGGTGATGGTGCCAAGGTAGGCCATGAGCCCCACGTCATTGCATTGCTGTGAGGGAACAGAAAAAAGCAGTTCCCCGGCAGCTCTGGTCTCCCACCATGTGCCCGGACACAGGAGCCGGTCGTGTCCTGCATGCAGAAGGCAGCGTGAGCCCCACCTCCCCATCCTGGGCTTTGCACTCACATCGTAAAAGTCTGTCTTGAACTTGTCTGTGCTGAGCACCGGGAGGCAGTGACACAGAGCGTAGGCCTCCCGCAGGATCTCATGGTTGAAGGGGACCTCTCCTGAAGGCACAGGAAGCTGCATTAATGTGGGAGCTGTCACTTCCCCCGGAGGGGGAGGAAAGCGCTTCAGGAGCCAGGAGACCCCCGTCCTACCTGCCTCGGAGGCCTTGACGTACTCCAAGATGAGCTTGACGCGGCTGTGCAGCATCTTGATGGCGCTGTGCTGGGCGATCAGGTGCTCGGCCACTGGGGGGAGGGTCAGGCCGAGGGTGAGAAGGGGCGGCCACACCGTCCCCCCACTTTTAAGGAAGCCCCCTGCAGCCACCCTTACCAGTGGAGTTCTCTCCACTGCCTGTTGCGGTCATTCGGGCCACGTGGTCCACACCAATGCGTTCCGCTTCCTCCGTGGCCAGAGTGTAGGTCAGCTCAGCAAAGAGCATGGTGGCCTGCGGGGCACACGGAGTCAAAAGCAGGAAACCCAGGGGCGGGCGGCGGGGGCTGAAGGGCTGGGCATTACCTACCTCTCCATTGATTATATCTATGACTGACTCAAAAACGCTGACAGGAAGCTGAGGACAAGAGACGAGAGAACAGCTCTTTAAACGCTGGACACCTGAACGTATGTAAGCACAAAAACTGGACTTGGCCCTTTCACATTACATTTCCCAAGGACCTACTGGAGCGGAACTCATTTCCATTTTACATGTGGGGAAAATGCAGTTTAAAGGTTAATTGACTCAAGTCTCACAGATGGTAAACTGCAAGGAGAGTCAACAGAGATGTCTTACAGTAAAAGGGGCATAGCAACAGGCCAGACAAAGTGGGCACCGGGTCACCGTACTCACATCTGTGTGCTTGGTCATAGGGTTCAACTTAAGAAACAGAGGGCTCTCAATTATCTCGCACACCTGGAAGAAGGGAGGATGCACACGCGTGTCAGGGCCCATCTTCCTCATTCTCTCGTCCCCGCCCCAATATGTGCCCGTGTCAACGTGTATACCTGCTTATGGACATGGATGTCGGAGGGGTCAGGCGGCCCCCCTGTGGTATACCAACCCAGAAACTCCAGCTCCTTGAATACCTGTTTAACTGGAGAGAAAGGGGCCAGGGCACACAGTGTATCTTTAAATCATCCTTCCTTAACTTGACACTCCTGGTGTGTCTCTACCAGCTTCTCCCCTTCCCATCCTGGCTCCACATGGGAACAACTGATCTCTTCTCACTCCTTGCTTTCTTCGCAGGGAATAACCCGTATGTGTTCTTTTTCTAAGGTCTCTTCAGCTACTCTCTTCATTATTCCTCTGATCTGGTCCCATTTCTCTGTTTATTTTTTTTTCCCCCAACCCTCTCCATCTTCCCCATTCTTTTTTCCCCCACTCCCACTCTTCTCCCCCACGTCTCTTCCCCTCTCACACTGCTCCTCCTTGGTGTAATAATATTCCTTGTCAATGATAATCTTCTCTTCCACGGTGTGGGACAGCAGTTCAAAGGAGTTCATCACCTCAATATTTCGGCCCTCCTGCTTCCCAATCAGAGCCCCAATCACTGGAGGAGAAAAGGACACATAAGAGGTGAGGGTAAGGAATCCTCAAGGCCTTCCCTGGTGGCTCAGATGGTAAAGAGAATCTGCCTGCAATGCAGGAGACCTGGGTTCAATCCCTGGGTAAGGAAGAGTCTCCTGGAGAAGGGAATGGCAACCCACTCCAGCATTCTTGCCTGGAGAATTCCAAGGACAGAGGAGCCTGGCGGGCTACAGTCCATGGAGTCACAAAGAGTCGGACAAGACTGAGCGACTAACACTTGAAAGGAATCCTCAAACTTCTCTAATAACAGCCTGAGGGTCTGAGGTCATGTGAACCAAGTACTAGAGAAATGATGATTTGCGGAGGAGGAATTGGCTTCAGCAAAGGAAGGAGAAAGGACCACTATTTGGGGGGAGGAGGCTGGAGAATGACGCTGAACACTCACCCTGCATAGGCCGCCCCTCCTGCGAGCGCATGCGAATCCAATGGTCTGAGATATTGAGAATGACGAGGGGATGAAGAGCGACTGAAACGCTGCCAGTCACTCCGGAGGCCATCACGCTGGGGACGACTAAGGAGGGGTAAGACGGGGTGAGAGTCCAGGCCCCACGTTTCTCCCGGCAGCCGGGAACGGGAGACGGCAGAGTCGGGCCATCCATCCCTCCCGCAAGTTAACCCAGGGAGCTCGCTGCCGACTCGCCATCCCCGACTGCTCCCGGGACTCTAGGAAGGCCTCGACGGGCCCGCCAGGAAGTCTCCAGAAGCCGCCCCCGCACGGCCCGTTACCTGCAGCATCCACCTCCATCCCGCTGCTCCCTCCAGTCCCGTTCGCCGCTGCCGCCGTCGCCGCCATTTTCCCCGCGCCCGCCAGCGTCGGCCCCGCCCCCTCCCTGCCGGCTTCCGTAGGCAGCGGCGCATGCGCGTTGTCGCCGGGACGCGTGCCTGCTGGGACCGTGGGCCACGCCGGGCCGTTCCTACTTGGCCTTGCGGGGACGGCTCCGGCGGGCCCGGAGCAGGGAGATCCGGCAGGTGTTTGTAGCCCCCTTTCGCTTGCAACTGACCGTGAACAAATTACCTAGCCCCACCCTGATCGTCCTCGTCAGTGAAACTGGGATAACGCCGCCTAGTTCCTAAAGCTGTTGCAGAATGAATGAAACGTCATTTTGCTGCGCTCGGAATAAAACCCAAATCCCTAATCACGGCCTGCAGGGCCCTGCAAGATTCGGGCCCTGCCGATCAGCTGGCCATGGCCTCTACTTTGCTGCTCCTTGGTTCCCGTGCTTCAGCCACACTGGCCCTCATGTCTGTTCCCTTCACACGCCTCACTCACGCCCACCTAAGGGCCCTCTGTCGCCTTCATCACTGTAACACAGGTGACCAAATCCGTACGTGACACAGGGGCACCTAAGTGATATTTGAGTGAATGCTTTGCAATGGAGCCTGGTTTTGAGTGACTCTTGTCTACACGGCTTATCTTTCCTCTTTCTGTTAACACCCCCAGCGTTTTCTAACCCCTCCCAACTTCCCTCTACCTTCCATCTCCCATCAGTTTTGCCAAACTTAACTTTGGCAAACCTGGACAACTCTAGCCCTCTCCCCACCCAAGCAACTTGGGTACACTGCCTTTACCCCATCTCCCACCTCATTGCCCCTACAACCTAGCTGGCTCTTTCAGTGTGTGTCTGCACTGCACCCAAAGTGTTACCTCTTACAGAGCAGGTGTGAATTTGCTTCCGTCGTGTCCGACTCTTTGTGACCCCATGGATTGTAGCCAACCAGGCTTCTCTGTCCATGGGATTTCCCAGGCAAGAATATTGGAGTGGGTTGCCATTTCCTTCTCCAAGTGATCTTCCCGACCCAGGGATTGAACCTGGGTCTTCTGCATTGCAGGCAGAAGCACTTTACCATATGAAGCATAAGTGAAGCCCAGAGAACAGGTAGAGACCTCTATCTTGACCGTATGGAGTCTACTGGTGCCCAGAACTAGCAGATCCCCAGGAGATGTTTTTTGATGATAAGGGTGACTTCTGTGAATTAAGTAATCCCTCCTAAAGGGCTCCTAACCACTGTTTTTAGTTTTATAGTTATCTGAACAATGTTTCAAAAGCATTTGAAACAACAAAAAGACAGGATTGAAATAGCAATGCAAAGTAGCAAATTTAACAGCAGAATAATCTTTTTTTTTTCCCCCAGCCTTCAGTCCAGCTAAGAAGCCTTATACTCCAGAGCAACTGTCTACTATTTAAAAGAGGTATATATTTCTGACCTCATTTTTCCTAAGAGTCAGTCAGTCGTGTCCAACTCTTTGAGACCCCATGCACTATATAGCCTGCCAGGCTCCTCTGGTCATGTAATTCTTCAGGCAAGAATACTGGAGTGGATTGCCATTTCCTTCTCCAAGGGATATTCCCAACCCAGGGATTGAACCTGGGTTGCATTGCAGGCAGATTTTTTACCATCTGAGCCACAAGAAAAGCCCAGAGAACAGGTAGAGACCTGTATCTTGACCCTGTGGAGCCTACTGGTGCCCAGAACCAGCAGATCCCAGGAGATTTTTTGTGATAAGGGTGACTTCTGTGAATTAAGCAATCACTCCTAAATGGAGCCTGGATGAAGAGAAGTTAAAGGCCAGCAGCTCTCAAAGGAAGGGACCTGAGAAATCCTGCAGGGAGAGAGGTCTTCTGGCCAAAGGGAAGATAAGAAAGAGCCTCTCTCATTCTGATCCCCAGCGAGTGACAAATCTCCGAGTCAA